GGGACTGGGGCGCACTGGGGGCAGCAGGCCAAGCCAGCCCCATGAGCGCGTGCATGGCTCTACCGCTCTTATAAGCCGATTACCTGGATCGCTTGCGGAAGACTCAACTCCCCGTACAAGCCTAACCGGCAGGGCCGCGCCACCCTTACACTCCATAACCATCCACACAGCATTCGACCCCCTACCCCCTTTTTCGGCGACTGTGTCATGTGGGCCTTTCCTGTTTTCAGCCGTGTTTTCAGCGGCCCACCACTGACCCGCGACCCGGCTAGAATGACCGCAAGGGATGTTTGATGCACTTAGTGTGACGGGCAACCGATCATAGATTGAGATTCAGGATGTTTGTGTAAGGGGGGGGGGGGGCTTTCAGTACAAACGTACAATTACGAAGTTCATATGTACGACCATTATGAGTGATAAAAACATGTTTTCTTTACTATGACGCATAAACGACAACTCTTTATGTTTTACAGGTGCGTCATCGGACTGATCTCCACCCACCTTCTTACCAGCCGCCCATTTCCGTGTGGTCCTTTCTCCAAGGTAAGTGTCCTGCTCCAATTCGGGAGGGGAACGGGGAAATGGTGGGGATTGGGAGCTCCGGGGAGGGGGTGATTATGCCATGGTTCATTACTTATCCATTAGTGGCCGAACGAGTAGCCTAAGTTGGGAATTGGAATGTAGCCAGTTGAAGGGCGGACGCTCTGGGGAGCTGGCGAGACTGGCGAACACTAACCTCCCTTGGGCAGCCGCAGGTCGGTCCACTCACTGCGCTCCGGCTGCCCTTGTTTTGATAGGATGTAGCTTGGCTTTCTTGCATCAAGAATCGGCATGGCAGGCGAGTGTTATTGCTTCACTGGTGTCATGTTTGCAGGGTACGTGTGCGTTATGTGAGTAGACTAGACTCAACCTGTAGTTGCACTTTTTGTTTGGCATACAGTATTTTCATTATCCATTGTGTCGTTCAGCGCGCCGTTCAGAGCCTAAACTACACTTGAGCGATTTCAGTTGCGGTGGGGCATGGTGGCGCGGGTGCTTGGTGAGGCTTGGCGAACTGGTCCCGGCCGCCGTCTCGCTGCCCGCCCCAGATATTTACCCGTGTATTTACTCTGTCCCACACGCAATCGATTTGATTCGTTTGTAGAGAGAAGCGAGGGGCCCTCCCCCCTCCCCCACCCTTTCTTCATCTGGCTCTCTCCCTGTATATCTCTCTCCCCCGTATCCCTCGGGCCATCCCATGCCTCCTCGTCCGTGCTCAGTTTACGTTCTGCATAATTTCGGTTTGGCGGGGCGGAGCGGTCGGCTGCGTCGGGGACGACCCCAGGACTGCTGCTTCGCTGCCTGTCAGTGATGCTGTGGGACTTCCCCCATCCGACGTCTGGTAAATTAAGGCCCACAGGGAATATGGGAATTCTAATATCTTATGTGAGTGGCACGCCTCTCCAAGTCTGCTCTCAATACATTCTTCCAGATCTCGTGATAACTAACGTTCTCCTCTGACAAGGAGGGCATTGTGTGAGCGTTAGGTTCAACACGCAAAGTTCGCGAGCAAGTTACTGCTACTCTACTCGTTTTGTGTTATGCTGTGTTGTCTTTGTGTGTGCAAAACAAAGTCGGCCTGGACGGCGATGGCTGGGGGGCGAGTATGTCCACAAAGTCCTGCTGCATTTCCTTTTCTCTCGCACCGGACAACTATTTCCGCCTTTCCCCACCCCTTTCACGACTATCTCTGCAGCAGTAGCAGTTCCCTCGGATCTGGTAGGGATTTTCTTGTGCCCTTGTTTCGCCTTGGTTGCACTCGAAGCGACACATACTGATCAGTGTATCGGGCATTGTCTGTATGCGCTGTAGTGTCGCCAACGGGGTCAGGCCGGGGCTGAGGGGCGGATCAGTCAGAGGAGGGGGCTGTGGGCGTGGGGCTCGGAGGCGCCAGGCCCGGGGGTTATCATTTTTCCCAAGTTTTGCTCCCACATTCGGACGTTTTGAGGTCCCACGGAACTTTGTCCAGTCTCCGTGTGTGTGTGTGGCGGGCGGTG